TATGAAGAGGAAGAGCAGCCATGAAATAAACCACAAAATGAAACTTGTTTGAATTTTTGGAAAGATGTAATGGATGAGGTGATACTTGATATCTTATTATCAGTTATTAACTTTAAAAGAATGTTCATTTTTTTTCAGCAGTAGACTAATATATGATTAAGAGGACAGGCATGGAAATTAGCCTAGCAGTGTAAGCTTGGGCAAGTTTCTTAACTTCTTTGACCTTTATCTCTTGATTTTTCATGTTTAAGAGGTAGATTATAGTAGTATAGGCTTCATAGTGTTGTTCTGAGAAATCAGTGGCACAATTCATATAGAAGTCTCAGCACTGCTCATGGAAATGTGAGCTGCCCTTGTTTTGAGACCTGGTTGGACAAAGGTTGGGCCATGGGGGAATTTCCACATATTTTGGGGTGCAGTGAAGCCACGTGTCCTTTACAGCAAGGCCAATAGCCCTGGTTCCACATTTCTAAGCCGAGGCCTTGGTCCATGGCTAAAACAATAATGGTGGCATTGTCTGCTGGGTGAGGTGCAGCCATATTTCTGGGACACTTCTCTTTTTTTAAAAAAATTAATTTTATTGGTACATTTTAGGCATACAATATAATGACATTCATCGTTGGAAATTTGCACCTTTACATAATCTCTCTTGGTTCTTATTTTTTCCCCATTCTCCTGCCCTCCCTTCAACCCCTTCACCCCTCCCTATTTACAAAGATTTTGTTTCCATTTTTTCCTTTTCTCATATTAATTCCATTCCCTTCTTTCCTTTCCCCTCTGGGACACTTCTCTTACAAAGCTCTTCCTTTTCAGTAGCACCAACTACCTTTGACCTGTGTTGCTAAGAGCATGCTTGGCCTCTCAGATAGTCACCATAGCAATGGTCTGAATTCAGTTTCTGTACCTGAAGAAGACCCTGACAAATAGCAACAATTCCAAGCAGATGGCTGAGTCAACTATTTCAGGCAGTTTAGATAAAATGTCACTGAATTATCCACAGTTCTCCTTAAACCCTTTCCAAGCAGTAGTTGTGAGACCTAACTTATGTGGATGGCTTGGCAGTTTTAGGCAAATTTCAGTTATAAACAATGGCTTCCGGTCCATGTCATGAGGACTCAGTGTATGATATTCATTAGTGGTTCATGTCTCTGCAAAGAGGAAGTAAAAGCAAGACTCATGTGAGAGAACAAAGTCCTCTTTGGGCAGAATCCTGGCATTAGTGTGGTTTGCTCTGAATCATTTGGGCAAGGCTTTGCCTCCCACTTCATTTGACCACAAGGATATTGCTGTGGGAGCTTCTTGAGTGGTCTCCATCGAGGGCATTGAGGAAGGGGGTGAACTGGAGGGTGACGTTTAGAGTTCAGGCTAAGCAGATTTGTGCGGCAGAATGAATTCTTATTTGACAAACACTGTCCTCAGTATTAACTCATTGGATCCTAGAACTCTCAAATGTGGATAGTAAAATTATCCCTGCTCTACAGATAAATAGAGCCACAGGGCATTAGAGGACAGGACCCAAACAGTCTTAATTCCAGTCTGCTCCTAACAATAGCATGATGTGCTGGATTTGTCCTCAAATAAATCATGGCACTTTACACATGAGAGTGGAAAGCAATTACTTCTGTTTTTACCAGAAACACTTTGAGTGGTGGACTAAATTTAAATGACAAAGGATAAATACATTTCTATTAAAATATCCCATACAATGGCCTATTTTACCAAAATAAAGCATTCATTTAATTTTGATTAGCTTTTCTATCATTCACCTTGCTGTTCTTTGGAAGATTGAAAGTGCTAAGAAAATCAGTTCAAGGAAAGATGATGTATTCCAGCCATTTCTCAACTATTTACTGAGCAAAAAATTGATAGTGTACGTAATAGATAATCCTTTTCATCAACAGTAAAAATGTATTATTGTATTTTGCACCCAAATATTGCTTTAAGTCTTGAATTAGTTCCCTTTAACATGTTGTGTTTATTCTGAAAACTCTTATAGACAACAAATTAATAGGATGTCCATGTTAGACAACCATGAATACATTACAATTTAACAAACAGGTATTGAGGGCTTAATATGTACAAGATCTAGTATGAAGAGTTTTGAGAGGTTAAAATCAATTTTAAAAATAAGGCCCCTACATGAAGGATATTTTCTAGTAGCGGCAGTAATACCAACAAGTAAGTAAGTGGTAAAAAAGAAAATGTGGGGAGGAAGAGCTTCAGGAAGGGACTTTTGGCTGGAAATGAAGAAAGATTTCATGAAAGAAGTAGGAGTTAGATGGTGGCTCCATTTTGATGTCCCAGTTCTTAGTACCATATCTGGCACATATGAAAATTTGATTCGATATTTTTTAGATAAATGAGCTAGATGATAAGATGTGAGAAGCAGAAGCAGATAGGAAGAAGCATGGTCCTGATCCAGCTTCATTAAGAAAATCCCCATTGTCCATTTTCTCAGGGCCAGGCCCACACCAGGTGGGCAGAGCAGCAGAGGCTTGGATCCCAGAGGAGAGCTGGGCAAAGGGTGCTGGGGAGGGCAGCAGGTTGGGTGTGGGGAGGGAGTGGCAGATAAGGCTGGAGGATCTGGGAGCAGCGTGTGGAAGATCTTGAAGGCTGAGGAATTTGAGAAAGATACCCAAATGGGTCATTTTCGTCTATATTTTTAGTTCTTTTAAGCAAATATTGGTTGATTGCTGATCATGTACAATTTGTTAATGTAAAAAAAAAACCCTAGTTAGACCTAAGAATACCACTTTATTCATTTATATATAGTCATTTTTTAGTATTCTTAAAGATTGGGTCTAGAACCTCCAAGAATATCAAAATTCATGGATGCTTAAGTCGCTTATATAAAATGGCCTGGAATTTGCCTATAAGTTACATACATCCTCCCAAATACTTTAAGGCACTTCTAGATTACCTATACCTAATATACTGTCAATGCTGTGTACATACTTGTTATTGTTTAGAGAATAAAGCCTGTACCTGCTCAGTAAAGATGTATTCTCCCCTCCACCCAAATATTTTCAATCCAAGGTTGGGTGAATCTGTGAATGTGGAACTTGTGGATACACAGGGCCAGCTGCATTTCCTCTGGCAATATACTAGGACATGGGATTACTTGTTATTGTTACGTTGTTTCCAAACCAAATAAGTAGTCAAGAGCAGCAAAAACAAAACAAAACAAACAAAACAAACCTTTTTTTGTGCTTCATAATAATGAGTTAATTCTACAATGGCATTTTGGACATATCAACCAAATTAATCCTGTTGCAAAGCTGATTTTTAGTTCATGAATCTGAGTCCAGGAGGATTTTTTTTTTTTTTTGGTACCAGGGATCGAACTCTGGTCCTTGTGCTTTTGAGGTAGGCAGCAGAACCACTGAGTTAAATCCCCAGCCCCTCCAGGAGGTTTTTCTGTTTTTTGGGTACCTGGGATCCAACTTGGGTCCTTGCGCTTGTGCAGCAGGCGACGAAACCACCGAGCTAAATCCCTGGCCCCCGTCCTTAAAATATCCATGGAAACTTGGAATAAGTTGTTTAATTTATGTAACATATACAAATGATATATTTATATATTATATCTTTATCCACATAGCTGTCACAGTACATAGGGTCTAAAGAGGCTGGAGTTTGGATTCAACAGATCTGACTGTGCCACTTCTTAGCTATGTGTCCTTAGACAAATTGCTTAATTGGAACCTGAATTTCCTTATCTATAAAGTCAAGAAATTCCTAACTCATTATGTCTGTGAGAAAATCATAAGAGCACACATTTATTACTGAACAATTGGTAGGTATTTTCCACATGAGGAAACTGAGGTGCAGAGTGATAAAGTTGCACACCCCTGGCTGTACAGAGCTGGTTGCAGCCCAGCTGTGTGGCTCTGAATCACTTTCTACACCACTCGGTTAGGCCATTTCTAAAGGTTTCTCTGCAAATATACCTCCTAGGTGACTTTTATTTCTTTATCTGCCATAGCACTTATGAGGCTGACATGAGATAGCACTTTTTATCTTTTTAAAGTTCAGATAACAGGCAAATATAAGGCATCTAAATATTTCAGGGTCTAAATTTTTAGAGTGGGTAGAATTTTAGTAACCATTTTCCATACTGATTATATAATATGTTTTGTGTGGAATTTTTAAAAAAAAGATGAATTAAACCAGGATCATCCATAATCCCTAAAGATAATAAGTGATTGGGATTTTAGTGAAATGAATACATTTTTATGTCCTTGGTTTTTAAAAACTTGTTGTTCAGCAGTTCAGTATTATGATATAAGCAGCAAGGATGCTTTAGAGCCTACATAGAAAATTTGTCTCACATCTTAAAATCAGTCATGATAAATCCAGGGCAAAAGTTGAACTTTTAAGAAATATGAAGCATTGAACTGAAGATAATGTGGGCAGAGATGGGATTCTTATTTTGTCTCTTTTTGAGGAATAAGTAATGTTTTTCACTTGTGTGTATTGCACTGATCATAACAATATGTAGAAGACCAAAGAGGCAGCTGGTGAGCTCTTTGAATGAAGGATCGTGAACATTCTTGGGTTTTTTTCCACTTCAGGAATCTAATATATTTGCAGCTCTGACTCAGAACCACTAAATGTTTTTTTACCTAGTTATTCTGGCATTTGCCAAAACATATCTTCCCTACCCATATTACAAGTGAAAATTATTTATAAAAAAACCACAAAAAGTGAAAGTGATACCTACTCCCTATTGTTTGAGATTGTCAAATGAAGGTTATGATAGAATGAAGCTGTTAAAGAAGTGAAATTACAGATTCCTTTGGAGATGTTAACTTGTGTCTTGCTGTCGGTGAGGGATCATGTTGCTTCCAGAAGGCCAGGCTGTTGCTGGAGGAGAGCTGGTGTGTACCAATCCCATTTGACTAGGTTTGTAAATGGGTATCACCCAGTGACTCTTCCTGGTTTCAGAGACATGATTTTAACAGACTGGCAACTAATGCCTTCTATCTCTGGTTTATTCACAGGAGTTTGATAAGAATAGCAAGATGACTCCAGCCCGTCTTCACTCCCTGTGTCTCCTTGTACTTTATTTGGTAAGAGAAGGGGGTATGCTTCTCTGCTTGTTCACTGGAATATTTTCTGTCATCCTTCTGTGTACCAGGGAAAGAATGGTTTTCATTACTTAAAGGTGACCTATGCAAATAAAATTGTATAGAATGGACACAGTGGGCTCTGATGTTCTATTTCCAACGAAACGGCTACAAATCATATGCCTGTTTTTCAACTGGAGGAGACACTCTTTTCTCAGCTCTTACAAGCCAGTACCACTTAATGAGCAAGGTTTAAAACAAATATATCCTTCATGGATAACCTAGGGAATCTGGAAAGAAATTATATTGATACATGTACTAGCTTGCATCCTTTAATCTTGACTTTATTTTGACCATGAAAATTTACTACCAAAACATCAAGAAAAATCATTTTTTCTATTTTGAACTCAGTATTTCTTCTGCTTAAATTTATCTTCAGCCATTTGTTGAGTCAACCCTATTGAGCTGAATGGGAACTAGAGTCCCAGCCTGGATAGATAGCAGTGTGCATCCTTGCTCTATCCATGAAGCTCTTAAGGTTTGCAAAAGTTGCCAAAATGTATTTGTAATGAAACTTCTATATCCTTATGACTCCCATCTTGTTTCCTTTCTTCTGGGATCCAAAAATTATATACCAAGTCCTAGAAAGTTCCCTAGAGCCCATATAATTCAAAAATTTTTAGAGAGTGAAATACTCAAACTTGTGAAACTATAAGACCCTTCCTCCTGGGGTGAAAACTGCAATTCAGACTTCATGGGTCACATGTGTCCGCACAGCCCATGGGTACAAATCGAGTCTTGGGCTCATCTAAGGGCCTGGTCAGACATCCCTTTTGACCTTGCTTTTTTACCTGTGTTCTCAAATGCCCTTTCCTACCTACATTATCACAGGGTAGTAATGAAGTCAGACCTGGGTTCAAACTTGTTGCCATTTGCTAGGGATAGGAACTTGATTGAGTCATGTAAGATTTGAGACTCAATTTTTTCCCTTTGAAATGGGTCTGATAATGGCACTTGCTTTATGGGATGTTGTTGCAATTAAGTGAGATAATCCATTATAAAGTTCTTAGATCAGTGACTAGCATAGTCCCAGAGCACAATAAATATTCTATTGGTCTCACTACGGCATTTTAAATGTGCAGAGTCTACACTCATATGGACCCTAACCTCTATGTTGAAGGGACTGTGTTTTAGTCACCTTTGCAGCCTCAGTACCTAGCAAGTACCATGAACAGGGTGGAAATGAAATACATGAGTATGGACTTACATTGGGAAGCAACAGTGACAGAGAAGGAGGGGGAGATCACTCAATACTTTGGTATTAGTGGGCTTATATGGTTCGTGTACGAGGAGGGGGCATATGTTCTTGTTCCTGGCTAACAGGTGTTCTTTTCCAGTTTCTACCACACTATCCTTCCTGGGTCTGGTGGTGTGGCTTGATGACTCAGAGGGTGCACATGCATTTTGAAATCTTTATGGCCCCAATAGTCATATTAATGGCAGGAAGGGAGATTTGTTGCCTGATACCAGGATGCAACTTTGAACCCTGGAACTGCAACCTGACACTCCTTTCTTATAGGTGAGCCAGCTTGTCTCCATAGGAAAAACGCAGCCTTGCTGTTGAGGTTTCTGGCTGATGCAGTTTTCACTATTGTGATCAACTGCAAGGCTGACTTAGCTGGGATGTGCATAAAGTGACGGAGGTACCTTGCTGTTGAAAAGTAACTTTGCAGAAATCACAGTTCTTATCTTGGACCAATCATGGTGGCACAAGAGCATCTGTAGCCAACTCCTGTGCTCCACCTTCCAGAGGAGTTAATGGAGGTGGACAGGATGTGGAAAAGGAGCCAGAAGAAAGAGCTCCCAAAGGAAATCAAACTAAGATAAAGGAGATGGCTAGAAGTCGGTACAGTTATTATGTGAGTTAAGAATGCTTTTAGCTACAGTTAACAGGAAATTTGACTTTAGTGCCTCTTAAATAGAGGGTTATTTTCCTCCAATAACAGGAATTCTGAAGGGGCATTGTTAGCAGTGCCTTGATGTTATCAGAATCTTGAATTTCTTTCTCTTTTCCCTACCTTCTTTTGAATTGTTTTGTTCCTTCATGGTTCACGGTGGCTGCACCAGATGTAGATGCAGATGTGAGGTTAGCCAGAATCACAAGGACAGTGCCAGCCACATCTGTCCCTTTTCATCAAGGAAGCAAGTCTGACACCTCCAACCCCTCCATGCTCTGCAGACTTCCCTCTTGTTTAATGAACCAGAAGTGGGTGACCTGGCCACCATTCTAGCTGCAAGGGAGCCTGGGAAGGAGCTGATTGGGCTTCCCAGTCTGCATAGTGTGAGGTAGCAAAGAAGAAAGGTTAGCAGTGATCCAGGGATAGCTAATTGGAGTAGCAGCCACAACAGTGATGCAGAGATCAAATTTCAAAGCACTCTGTTTTTGTTATTGGCTTTTACCAGATAACAGTGTCAACTTAGTCAAGATTCAACAAAGGGAGAGGCCCTACAGGACCTTTTCCCCTTCACTCACATACTGATTGTTTTGGGTGAATTCCAGCTGGGATCAGTTTCCATGGGCTCCATGTACTTTCTCTCACTAAAGATAAACGGAAACAAATTCTCTTTTCTTCACCCAGTTCTTACCTTTTTGGTTTCACTTGTCTATCAAATTGCCCTTATATTTCTGATTTTAACCTATCTCACCCCAATTTCTATCATAAATGGGAGACCCAAAGAACTACCCAAGAGAGAGAGGTGGCCTGGCCAGTATCTGGTCTGGGACACTAGGTCCCTAGTCCTAGAGGGCCTTCCTCCCTGAGTGTATGGCTGACTGTCCTTCCATGCCCCTGCTTCATTCTGCCTTATATCTTCCTCCAGGGGTGCCACTGTCATCGTGCTGTGGGATGATGGAGATGGCAGGGTCACTGCTAAATGCTCCCTATCTCCAGGGTTGGAGCATGTTCCCATTGCAGTAGCCTTTCTTTCTAGGTTGTCTTGGCCATGTTTGTGCCCTCTGGTGCACAGTGGTGCACAGTGGCTGAGAGGGTAAATTCCAGAGTTGCTGGTTCGATTCCTACTTCCAGCCATGACCTGAGCAGTTAATTCTCTACACCTTAGTCTCATTACCTGTAAAATGGGGCTAATGGTAGTAATTTACACCAATAGGCTTGTCCACAGGATTAAATGTGCTTAGGACAGAGCCTCACACTTACTAACTTGCCAAGAACAAGTTCTTACTGTCTCAGCTGCTTCTACTGTTGTCCAGTCTGATTTGAGTGACTACAGAGGTGGCTTGGCCTTCAGGTTTAAGGTCTTTGGATTTTATTTATTTATTTAGTACCTGGGATTGAACTCAGGACCTTGAGCTTGGCAGACTATGCTGCTGAGCTACAACCCTGGCCCAAGGTCTTTGGGTTTCAGAACCATTGTGTGGCCCCTGCTTGAAATAAACATTGTATGATTTTATTATTTTTTTATGAGTGAATATAGACTATTAAATGTTAAAGTAGTAAGCTTTTCTTAGTTTCAGTTCAAATTCAGATTCGTATTTGACCAAAATTTACCATATTAAGTATGTGCCAAGGGAGCATTGTACTAAATATCCCCTCCATAAATTCAGCTGTCCTTCAGGTGACTGTGAACTCTAGAGCGCTGGGAATTTGTCATGAATGCCCTCATAAAATAATAGGAGCAGCAAGAGATGTTTTAAGAAGCTGATATAGAACCCTGTTGAATTTAGAAAGGGGCTCAGAGGGATGGAGGATGTGTGCTATCCCCACTTCTGTGGTTTGTTCTGGGCTGGACTCTCTAGGCCACACTGTAACATGGAGCTATTAATATTTTTTTCCCAAAGGGCGATGGCTCCAGTGGCTAAGTGAGAAAAGCAATGAAAGCCACAGCAAACTCTTTTCACATGGTAGTTCTCTTAACAAATATTAGACCCCTTTCTGTCTGTTTTGACCACATTTTCCATTTTCAGCTGTGATGGAATCCTATCTTTCATGTATTGTTTCTGGAAGCTCTCAAAAAGTCAGTAAGTCACCTACATACATTTGTAATAGATGCTAATTTTTCTCTTTCTTTGTTAACAGACAGCTGGAAATGGCCAAGATGGGAAATTTAGTGGACCCTTGAAGCCCATGACTTTTTCCATTTATGAAGGCCAAGAACCAAGTCAAGTCATATTCCAGGTAAAGGCTACCCTCGATCACTGTTATCTTGATTTCTCAGCATGTGAGTGGACTTTTACTCCCTTCTATACTATATAACAGGAAATAAAATGGAGGCATGGCGAATCCACACATCAAGGATGATTTCAGTAGCTAAGTTAAACAGAGACTGGTAGTGCCATATCATGAGTCATACCTGACATCTACATCCAGACTTCCTCAATCGTGTCTGGGGCCAGGGCTCTGGGCAGGGAGCCTGGTATCTGTCGGCCCTGGAGAGGAAAGGGCCCCTGTGTGAGAAGGAGGCGTTGGCCTCTTGCCCCATAGGCTGTATGTCGGTGAGCTTCCTCACGAAGCTCTGGGAGGTGGGGCTTCCCTGGAAGTGGTGCTAGATGGGCCTCTCTGTGTGGCAAAGGTCTGTCTTTTCCCCCTACCAGCTCAGAGCCCAGGTCTTCTGGCCCTCACTGATGGGACAGCCATGAGGGGAAAAGGTTCTCTCATTAGAAATATAAGTGGAGAGAGCATCAGACCGAGGGACAGCCTGCAGGTGGATGAGGACTTCAGCTACTAAGGGCACTGGAATAATCCTGGAAATGTAACAAGAAAGAAAACATCTTGCTGCATTTACCAGACATCTCTGAAAGCTGCTTGGCCCTGGAGCATGGAGGTGCCCTGATGAGCCTCTGGGGTTGCTCATTGTCTCTCCCTGTGCCAAGCACCAGAGAACAACACAGGGTTCCTAAATGGTCTTCTAGGGTAGATGCCTGCCATCAACCACTGCGTATTTATCTTGTGGATGTGTCCCATCCACAGAGGGAAGGCTCTTTGTTGTCTCACGGCCCCCGTCCTGTTCAGGACCAGACGAGCATAAGTATGAGCTGGCAGCTGCACATGCACGCCTGGCCATCCAGCAGTGCTGGGCAGGGTGTCACAGGGCTCTTGAGCTCTCTGGCTAGGGAAGTCAGTTACTGAACAGGTGGTGAACACACTGAGAGCTGGAGGCTGTCGGGAACCAGCTTGAGAAGGAGGGGAGAGAACTGTTCAAAGACACAGCAGGGACGGCTGCCCCGTGCTGGGAGGGGACAGGGCACAGTCTGAGGACTGGCAGAGAGCCACATGGCCGGGCAGGACAGGACTAGGAGGAGAGGGTGGGAGAGGAGGCTGCAGGGACCTGACGGCCCTGCTCCTGAGGTGCTGCGGTTTCCCCGATTCCGATTTCCTTTCAGAAGAGACCCCCGTGGCAACAACCGGAAGGGGCCAGGGAGGAGGCAGCGCTCTCCGGAGAGATGAATTCCTCCTTGACTTCATCTCTGCCCTGCCTGGAAGTACTTGGTTGTAGGCTCTCTCTGACGTGTTTTGGTCCCTTCATTCGTGTACTGTGCTTCACAGGATGGCACAGACTTCACTTTCACACTGCAGTTTTAAATTAACCCTAAATGGAGCGCCCGTTGTGAAGGAGGCCCTACCCTGGGCAGTAGGACTCCAGTCAGAAGGCGAAAGCTAATGAGGAAACAAACACAGGCACCACACCGGAAAATTCGGATGGCAGTTTGATGGCCTAAGGGCAGGCAAAGCAAGAGGAACTGAGTCTATTTGTCTTTTCAGTTGACAAAAGCTGTACATGTTTATTGTGTGCAAATGTTTTTAAAAAATATTCATTGTAGAGCGGCTACATTGAGCAAGTAACATAACCTCCCATTCTCATCATTTGGGTGGTAACAAGAATGCTCATGATCTCAGAGCTGCCAATTTTCAAGAAGGATGACAGTGGATGACAACAAGGTTTTGTCAACTCCTGAACTGAGGGCTGAATGGTGGGCAGGAACTCAGGACAGGGAGCAGGCACTGACCACAGTATGTGGAGAGCATTAATGGGGGTTGAAGGTAGGAGACAGTGCATAGTCAAAGGCCTACGTCCTTGCTGAGGTTGGCGCAGGATGGCTGACCCTTCTTGCTGTGTAGGCTGCTGGGCACCATTGGAGGGCTTCAACAAGGAATGCTCTGAATGGACGTGTGCGGGCCTACTCTGTCTGGGGTCGTGGTGAGCGTGGTTTGAAGAGGGTGAGGCCAGAGGCAGGAGGGGTCTTAGCTAACTTTCTGGTAGTCCCGTCAGAAGTGATGGTCCTGCTTTAAGTAAGGGCAAAGGGCATGCTAGGATCTGAATGTGGATGTCTTGCAGGTTCCTTGTTGAAACCTAGCCCTCTATGCAATTGAATAAAGAGGTGGAGCCTTTAGGTCAAGCAGGCAGAGTGCTCATACGTAAGATGAGTGCCCTTATAAAAAAGGCTTAAAGGAGCCTATGAGGACACGAGGAAAGTGCCATCAGAGGACAAGCCTCCCTTCAGTCTTCCTTCCTTTCTTCCTGTGGTACTGGGGATTAAACCCAGGGACTTCCCACTGAGTGACATCTCCAGGCCCCACCTACCCCTCTTTAAAAAAAATTTTTTTTTGAGACAGGTTCTTGCTGAGTCACTAAGTTGCTTATGCTAGGTTTGAACTTTGGATCCTTCTGCCTCAGCACCATCATGCCTGGCTCATTTTCATTTTTATCAGCATTGTATAAGAGTTCAGATTTTTACACATCCTTAACATTTATTATCTGGCTTTTTAATTTTAGCTATCAAAGTGTTTATGAAGTAGGACTTATTTGTACCTTTTCTTTGCACTTCCCTAATAACTAATGGTGTTAATCTTTTCATGTGCCTGTTGGCACTCTCTATACTTTGGTTAAATGTCTACTCAAATATTTTCCCTATTATTTAATTGGATTTTTTTTTATTGTTGTAAGAGTTCTTTATATATTCTGCATGAAAATCCTGCCTTTGCAAATACATCATTAAAAAATATTTCCTCACATTTTTCAGGTTAATGTTTTTAACCTTCTTCATAGTGGCCTTTGAAACACAAACACTTTTAATTTTATGAAGTGTTATTTATCTTTTGCTTTGTGCTTTTGATATCATATCTAAAAAGCCATAGCCTTCTTCAGGACCATGAAAGTAATGTTACGTGGGGGTAGGTGTCCAATACATCTTTTGCATATATATATATATTTTACATAGATATGCAGTTTTCCCGGTACCATTCTTTGGAAAAAACTATTGTTTCTTCGTTACCTTACCATCCTTGTCAGAAATCAGTTGGCCAGAAATGTAAAGATTTCTTTCTGAACCCCTGTGGATTCCTTTAATCTACTTGTCTATCTTAAGTATCACACTGTCTTTACCGTGGTCCTACAACTTTGTTCTTTTTCATGATTGCTTTGGCTATTCTGGGTCTCTTTCATTTCCATTTGAATTATGGGATCAGCCTGTTAATTCTTTAAACAAAGCAGCTACAACGTTAATAGGGATTGTTTTGAAGCCACACATCAATTTGGGGATTACTGCCCTTTTAATAATGTTAAAATTTCCAATCTGTAAACATGGGATATCAAGACTTACTTAGATAGTAAGACTTATTAAGGATATAAATTAAGAATAAATATTAAGGAGATTAAGGATATTAAGGATATTAAGACTTACTTAGATTCTTAATTTTTCAACAATGTTTGCAGCTTTTATTTTACAAGTCTTGATTATTTGTTTAAAATTATATGGAACTATGTTATTATTTTTTATCCTTTCTTAAATAGCATATAAGAAATATCATTTTTAGGGTGCTCTTTACTCGTGTACAGAAATACAATTAATTTATATACATTGATATTTTGCAACTTTCTAAAACTTATTAACTGTCATAATTTAAAAAAAAAGATTTCTTGGGATTTTCCACATATAAAATCATGTCCTCTGCAAATGGAAATAGTTTTACTTTTTTCTTCCAGTATGGTTGCTTTTTGTTTGTTTTTCTTGATAATTCCTCTTGCTAGGATCTCCAGTACAAAGTTTAGTAGAAGTGGCAAGATTGGATATCCTTGTTTTGTTCTTTCTTATGGGTAAAGCTTTCTTTCACCAGTAAACATGGTAATAGCTGTGGATTTTCTTAGATATCATTTATCAGCTTGACAAGTTACATTCTATTCCTAGTGTGTTGAGTATTTTTTTTTTTTTTTGTACCGGGGATCGAACTTAGGACCTTGTGCTTGCGAGGCAGGTGGTGGCACTACTGAGCTAAATCCCTAGCCCAATGTGTTGAGTATTTTTATTATGAAAGGATGTTGGATTTTGTCAAATAATTTTCTGCTCTATTGAGATACTCATGTGGTTTTTGTCCTTTATTCTATTAACAAATAATATTACATTAATTGATTTTCATGTCTTGAACCACTCTTGCATTCTGAGATAAATTCCACTTGTTTATAGTATATATTTCTTTTTATGTTGCTGGACTCAGTTTGCTGGAATTTCATTGAAATTTTGTGTCTTTATTCATAAGAGATATTGGTCTGAAGTTGTCTTTTTCTGATTTGGGTATCAGGATATACTGGACTGAAAATGATTTGGGAAGTGTTCCTTAATCTTCTAGTTTCTGGAGGAATTTGGGAAGGTATAATTTTAACTCTCTATTACATGCTAGGTACAATTTACCAGTGAAGCCCCATGGCCCCGGCCTTTTCTTTGTGGCATTTTTTTTGATTGCTAGTTCAACTTCTTTTCTTGTTGTAGTTCTATTTATTTAAAAAAATTATTCTTGAGTAAGTTTTAGTATTTTTGTCTGTCAGGAATTTGCCTATTTTTCTAGGTTGTCTAGTTTGTGGGAAAACAATTTCTCATAATATTCTCTTAAGTGCTTCTTATTTCTGGAAGATTAGGAGTAATATGCTCGCTTACATTCCTGATTTTAGTTACTTGAGGCATCTCTTTTATTTTGGTCAGGACAGATGAAAATTTGTCAATTTTGATGATCTTTTCAAAGAATCAACGTTTGGCTCTGTTGATTTTTTTTCCTTTCCTTTCATATTTTCTATTTTGGTAATTTCCATTCTAATCTTATTCTTTCTTCTATTTGCTTTGGGGTTAGTTTATCCTTCTTTGTCTACTTTCTTAAAGTGAAATACTAACATTGATTTGAGATCCTTG